AATGCAGATGAAGATGAAAATGAAGATGAAGATGCTAATGAAGTGCCGGTAGACTATGGGCGATCTTAATGGCCATCTAAGCTGACCCAAAACCCGACTCGAAATGCGCCCGAAAGTGGCAAAGGAGCTGCAAAATCCTCGAGTACGCCTCTTGGGCACACACATTAAGCCGCGCTGAAGCCATGGAGAAGCCATCGAGGAACCACGAGACGTGCGAAAAGTGCTGCCAGCTGAAAACTTCAATGGGTTGCTCCGAGTGCTTAGATATGCATTAAAAGAAAACCAGAAGGCTGGCGTAGTGGCCACTTAACAGGATACAACTTCATTTCCCAGAAACCCCATCAAAAGGCAGCACAAAAAATAAGGGAGATGTGAAAAGGCAGAGATAACACCAAAGATAATATTATGCTGGCTAATAGAAAATAGCAAAAAAAAGGAATAAAAAAGGAGCTGAAGACGGATGCGGACAAAGGCGGTGTAGGAGCCCGAGCTCGAAAGGCGAGGCAAACAAAGGAGCCAAAAGGAAAATCATTCCGGCCAGAACAAAGGGCCAACCGGCAACGGCAACGGCAACGGACAACTCTCAACTCTGAACTCTAACCACGACAAAGATATGGACTAGCAAATAAACCATGACCACGCAGCACCGATGGCGAAAATGGGGTAATGAAAAGCCGTCAGAGAGGGTGGAAAATACTAGGGGGTTGGGGTAAGGGTAAAGCTATAGGTTTAGGCGTAGGTGGTGCCGGGTGCAGGTGTGAACTTGCTGGGGGATGAGCAATGCCTGGATGCGATGCGATGCGATGGCTGTGGCTTTGGCTGTGACTGCGATTAGCTTTTACGAGTATGTTCGGTGTGTCCTCTGCTCTCAACTTCCGTTAATGTTCGGGTGTTCGTGTGTACTCATGTGTGCTTCTGTTGGTTGAAATGCCCTTGCAAAAGCGGTTTCAATATTCGCCGGTAGACATTGTCAAAATGTTGTTACATTATAAAGCTTGAAAGCATGATGAAGCGCTGAAATTACTAGCCAGCCGTTTGGGAGTCTGAGTTGGCGTGGGGTTCACTTTTCAATGGTTTTCGCTTTAAGGGTCTAGTAAGGGTACATTTTTGTATTAGGGCATACTTGGCGTATACTTAATCTTAGAATTAACTGTGCGTATACGTATTCTTTCTTAAAACCAGTAACTTTGTTAAATGACTTCCACAAAGCATTCAATTAATGATTTGGGTTTGGAAAATCTGTAAAATAAGCTGTCAATATAAAATCTGATTTCTTGCACTTTGTTTAGTGAAAACCAAAGCCTTTACCTTTGCTGGAATATATATTTAACTAGTTCCCATAGGACCCAATAGTCAAGAGCCCTGATGCCTGATACGGACCACTTAGGACACTGTCTCTTCGCGACCTATAACCTTTGCAAGAGCTTTCCGGGACGGTGATTCCGGCCCCGAGTGATCCGGGATCTGTGTGCGAATGTCGGGCAGCGCGACACGGACGGACAGACAGACAACGAGACAGCGACAGCGGCGGCAAATTCATCAAAGGCATTGGGCACTGTGGCATTGCCAGTGTCTGGCCGCCGTGCGGACGCACACTCACCCTTGTCCTTGCGGCTGGTGGTCTTGGAGCTGGAGTCGCCACCACCCTTCGGACGGCTCAGTGCACCCGTGGTCTTGCCGGACTTGCGCTTAACACGTTGCCACAACAGGGCCACTCGTGCACTGCTCGACTGATTTCCGTACTGCTGCAGGTCCTCCTGTTCCGCCAGCGGCTGCGGTTCCGGATCCGGTCCGGTCCCGGACTCCGGTGGCAGCTGGCCGAGATCGCCCTTGGACTCGGTGCTGCGCCGGCGACGCCAACGCGGGCTCCGGTCACGCTGGTCGAGCTCTGCAGCGTGACTGTCCCCGCGTCGGCGGTGGTGTCCAGTGGATTCCGGCTGGTCCAGTTGCTCCTCCACGTTCATCGGGGACGGGGACTGCCCCTCGTCGAGGGCCTTCTTCTTGGTCTGTTCCTTCTTGAGGGAGCCCTCCTCTTTGGGGACCTTCTTCTTTGGCTTCTTCTTGAGCAGCTTGGTGCACTTCTCCTTGCCTCCCTCCGCCAGGCACTTGTTAATCCTAGCCTGCACCTTTAGCTTATGCAGTTTCGACTTCAGTTCACGATTCGGTTCACGACTCTTCAGGATGTCGGCTATGTGGACATAGTAAACGTCTCCCTCGGCTGCCAATTTACTGCCCGCCCAACGATCCGTGTCCGCAGAAGCTTCCTTGTCATGGAGGATGGCATGGCGCTTGTACCGACTGCCACGCCCCCTGCCCGTCTGGCCATTTTCATTCTCGATTCTACGCCGACGGCCTGAACCAGCGCGACGTCTTTTGCCCTGCTTTCGATTGGCATTCAAGCGCTTATCCTCTGGGTCCCCGTGGGGATCCTCATCGTCGTCGCCCAGATCATCGTCGCCCACCAAACTGGCGGCGGCATCGCCCACATGCAAATGGTCGTCGCCCAGGTCCAGGGAGTACGGATTGATTACGGCCGCGTGGTTCTCGTTGGGATGACGCGCCACCGAGTCCACGAACTCCACATCCGCCGTGGTGAAGTCCTCGGGCAGGTAGACCTGCGTGGTCTCGAATTTGGCCAGCGGCTGCTCCGTCGTTGCTTCCGGCTTGACAATCGTGAAGCGCACATCCGGCGCCCGACAGCCCGGCGAGGCATCTGGGGATGGATAATGGAAAAGGGAAAATGAGAACACTTTGCAAAAGTTTCAGTCCTAACTTGTTCGGCAAGGATTAATAGTCGAAGTTATTCTCTTTTCAATATTAAGCTAATATTGTTGGGACCAGTTATTTAATTTCTTGATCCTGAATAACATAAAATAACAAGTAGGCTACCATACCTCAGTTCAATCTATAAATTTAAACTTGGATTTTAGTAAGCGATTTTTGCCTCAGTGACGGCTCACCAGAACTTATTCCACCAAGATTTTGGCTTGACTGGAGGTAATGCAATTTCCAGTCTGCCAGGAACTCTTGCCATAAATATTTCATATGTGATCTAATTTAATAACTTGGCCTGGCTGAGAAGAACTTTCCACTTGACGTCGCCAGACTTTGAGAGCCATCGAAATTGCAAATTTCCAATATGCATTTGGCATGCAGGCAAGTAATCAGGGGGCGGAACGGGCGGTGGGAACGCAGGAAGGTCGTGGCTCAAACGCACAGTTCAAGTTTCAATTTTACATGAGAGGTGGAGGGCAGAAGGAACTCGAGCAGAAACAGACTCGGAGTCGGAATCAGAATCAGAATCAGGATTTCAGGCGGTGGCAGAGAGGGCAAAAGTCGTGGCTGTATTTTCCGCCATTTCCATCTCTAGTCAGCTTTTCGTAATCGCCGAGGGCAGAATTAAAGTTTTTCCGCTCTACTCTCCCTTTCGACTTCTCCTTTATTCCGTAATGTGTCATGTACTTTGTCGGAAAGTAGGTCGAGTGATATACAACCGAACAGGAATAAATGGAATAACTGAATTTCTTGTAATTGATGAAATGCAATCGCCAATTAGCTGTTGGTGCAAATGCAACAGAGTGGCAAAAGGAAAATGTGCGATGACCATCGGGCATTGGCACTTAGTTGATTAAATTGGAGAATCAAAGCAGTTTGTTTTTTATGCAACATTAACAACAATATAATACTATTTAAGCAGGGGATTTCCCTTTAAGATTATTTAAATTAAATTAGTTCTGAGTCAAAATGGCTTTCCATAAAAAAATTAAAAAAAAAATTAAAATTTATTTTTCTTAAAATTAAATCAACATTTTTTTTTAGTTTTTATTTTTTTCAGTGTTCTTCACCAGCTATAGAGTTTAAAACCATTTGAAAATAAAGTTTGATTCATTACGAAAAAGATCAAAAAAAAAAAAGAGTGGCCCGGCCAAAGGTTTTTCGCAATATCGATTTGAAGAAGGGCGCACAGCGGTTTTCCATACAAAACGACAAAAAGTGCCTCATTGACAGCTGCAGTCAGCTGACGCTACGCGCGCAACGGCATGTGTTGACCAGCCAATTTTCACGAGCAAGCCGTTTTTGTATGGAAAACCGCTGTGCGCCCTTCTTCAAATCGATATTGCGAAAAACCTTTGGCCGGGCCACCTTTTTTTTTTTGGATCTTTTTCGTAATGAATCAAACTTTATTTTCAAATGGTTTTAAACTCTATAGCTGGTGAAGAACACTGAAAAAATAAAAAAACTAAAAAAATGTTGATTTAATTTTAAGAAAAATAAATTTTAATTTTTTTTTAATTTTTTTATGGAAAGCCATAATAATTCTTGAGCGATTAGTGAAAACATCATAAAGATATCTCTTACCGTTCCGATGTTATGAATTAATGACTGAGTGCAACTTTTTCGAAAAAGTGTCAAAAATGCCATGTTTTGACCCCTATAACTCCGGCAAAACTCAAAATTTCGCAAAACCGTTCAAATGAAGTTCTTATATTTTCGTTGTGAACCGGAAAAGTAAAAAAGTTCGATGAAAATCGGACCTTCGGAACAGGGGTGGCCCACTTGGCAGATTTTGACTCTTCTACTATTAGACTTCAAAAGTAATAAATAAAGAATACTCTCAAAATTATTTATTGTTCAGTAGATTCAGTTTCTTTCAAGTTCGGTTGTGAAACAATGGTAAATCACCGGATTAAAAAGAATAACTTTATTGCCGCTCAAACTGTCAAGTCAACTGCCACAATTACTCCATTGATAAAGCTGATATCTACCTAAATAGATGCGTGATAAAGCAAAAGAAACCTACACAAAAAGATTTAATGTAACCGATTACCGGTAATTTGATATATCGATAAGACTCACTGAGTGAACACGACGTGAACTTTCGGCCAGTTGGGCTAGTATACATACTTATATTCACAGATATGTGTGCTGGCTATTGTTTATTGCTTAAAGAGAAACCGGTACAATTAAAGCTCCCGTGGAAGGGGAACTGCACACCGAAAATCCAAACAGTGATGAGAGGGAAGCGCACCTGTTCAGTTCGACGGCAATGATTTGGCTTTTATGGATTTCCGTTGCCATCAGTGTGCTCGTGCACTGGCTCTATAAGGTAAACAAGGAGTACTGTGTTCTGGCCTTCTTCGCCAGAAGACTTCGATCCAAGGATGGCAGACCTCTGGAGAGCATAGTGCCCATGCCAAAGGGTGCAACTTTGTTTGCCAACTGCTTTGACTTGTATGGAAAAGACCCAGGTGAGCACCCAGTGAACTTTGACATCAGGTGTCTTATCTTACGAGTACTTGTGTTTCTGCGTCAGTTGAAGTTTTCAGCTACACTCGCGAGCTGGCAGCGAGATTCGATAATAGTTATGTTGAATATAGCTTTGGACTGTCCAATTTCCACGTTACCGATGCACATAATGCGGGGAACGTACTAAGCGATCCGAATCTGATTACCAAGAGCATGATATACGGGTTTCTACATCCATTCCTGAGGACTGACCTACTGACAGCGACGGGTAAGACTAAATCTAAATAAATTAAATATATTAGAATCTAGTAATCGGATATTCTTTCCTATTTCTCCTACTGCAGATAAGAAATGGCACAAGCGGCGAAGTATGCTCGCAAGGACTTTCCATTTCGACATATTAACGCAGTTTCAACAGATTTTTAAGTGGGTATATACAATAAAACTGCTGATGGTTTGCTATTACCTTTATTTTGCCATTTTTAGAGCGGAGAGCTTGAAGTTCATTCATCAATTCGAAGATCAAAATGAGTGCATTGTATCTCTACCAGACCGTGTAGCCAGATTTACCTTAAACACAATTTGTGGTACTTGAAACTGAATATTTATCATATTAAGCAATAATGTATTATTTCCTTAATAGAAACTGCCATGGGCGTTAAGCTAGATGAAATGGCAGAGAAAGGCGATAGATACCGAGAAAGCTTCCAACGAGTAAACGAAGGATTCTTTAAACGCTTAACTAATCCCCTCTTTTGGGACGATTGCCTTTACAACCTCTTTGTGGCCCAGGGTTGTTCCTCGGTCCTTAAAGTGGTTCATGAGTTCTCCAGCGAGATTATCGCCAAACGCAGGGTTCTTCTGGAGGAAGAGCTTGAGTATAGACGTGCTACTCAATCGGCTGACGATGATATGTGAGTTAATTAATAAATAAATCGAAAGAAAGCCCGCTGATAATCACCCTTCTTTCGTAAAACAGATGCGTAGCTAGGAATAAACCTTTTGCCATGCTGGATACTTTGATTTGCGCTGAGAAAGATGGCCTGATCGACAATATCGGCATTTGTGAGGAGGTGGACACCCTGATTGCTGAAGGTTACCACACAACCTATATTGGTCTAGTTTTTGCCCTATTGACTATGTCTCTTTATGCTGAAGAGCAGGAACTCTGCTACCAGGAGATCCAGGAGCACATTGAGGGTAATTTAGATCATGGATATAATCTAATCATGAAATCTAATTTCTGGTTATTTTCAGACGACTTAAGCAACTTGAACATTGGTCAGTTAAATAAACTAAGCTACCTGCACTACTTTTTGAAGGAGACCATGCGACTTTATCCCTCCATTCCCATGATTGGGAGGCAGACAGTTCAGGAGACGGAGCTGGACAACGGTTTAGTTCTGCCAAAGGGTTCACAGATTAATATACATGTCTTTGACATCCATCGCAATCCGAAGTACTGGGACTGCCCGGAAGAATTCCGCCCTGAGAGATTCCTGCCCGAGAATTGCCAGGAAAGGCAGCCTTACGCCTACATTCCATTTAGTGCCGGACAAAGAAACTGCATAGGTAGGTGAAAATATCTTGTACATTTCCGCTTTTATTGTATCGCTCTCATCCACGTAGGTCAAAAGTATGCCATGCAGCAGATGAAAACCCTTATAGTGGTCATCCTCAAGCAGTTCAAGATCCTGCCAGTTATCGATCCGAAGTCCATTGTCTTTGCAGCGGCAGCAACCTTGAGCTTCAAAAACCAAATAAAAGTCAATCTCGTGAGGCGGAAATGCGTTTAATGATGCTTCATTTGCATCCTCTTTTTAGGCCCAGAAAAAATTACCTTGATTTAAGTCCACTGACTTTAAATTAAAGAACGATGGATTGGTTAAATAAGGCAATGCATGGGCTTAAAAATGTTCCTACCATATAATTTTAAATGGACAGTTTAGTCAGTTGAGGGCCTTTAACATGTATGGGAGGAATATTATTAAGGCCACGTTTAGACTACTTTAGCCATTTTAAAGCCATTATTCCTTAAATCAAAGTCAATGGCAATTCGGCTTAAGTTTGTTATTAATTTAAAATCCCTAAAGAAGCCTACATTTTTTATACAACGCACATTATTAATAATACAATCTACATAAGTAAAAACAAATTGTGAAATTGTAATTACTAAAACGCCCCAAAGAATTGAATTCGGAAAGTATTAGTATCGAATAAAGTCTATCGATTAAAACTGAACATGACAAACAAAACTTATTAGATGAGCGCGACCCAAAATAGCGACCAGCTGAGCGAACGAACATACAAACATAAAGAAATATATGTTTATAGATCGAAATCTAATCAGTTCTGGTGGGGCATTCGTGTGGTTGCCAAGAAAAAGCTCGAGTGGAACGAGAGTTGAGAACCGAACACCCAAACAGTGCCGAGCGTGAAGCCCACCGATCCAGTTCGACAGCAATGATTTGGCTTCTGTGGCTCTCCGTCGCCCTAAGTGTGCTCGTGCACTGGATCTATAAGGTAAACAAAGACTACTGCGTCCTCGCCTTTTTCGCCAGGAGAGTTCGAACAAAGGATGGAAAGCCCCCGGAGAGCATAGTTCCCATGCCCAAGGGGCAAACTAACTTTTCCAACTGCTTTGATCTTTATGGGAAAGACGCTGGTGAGTAATTGGTGAACCTTTACATCAGGTTACTTATCTTTATAAGACTTATCACTCCCAATTTATTCGTTCGATTAGCCGAAGTTTTCAACCACTTGCGCCAGCTGGCAAAGAAAGCCGGTGACAGTTATCTTCTATACGGCATGGGCTTTCCCAATTACAACGTTATAGATGCCCATAATGCGGCTAATATACTGAACCATCCAAATTTGATAACAAAGAGTGTAATATACAATTTTCTACATCCATTCCTGAGGACTGGCGTACTGACTGCGACAGGTGATATTTGGCCCACTTAAGCGGAAAAGCTTTTTCTAATATTTTTAACTACAGAAAAGAAATGGCATACGCGACGCAGCATGCTTGCTAGGACTTTTCACTTGGATATATTGAACCAGTTCCAGGAGATCTTTAAGTGAGTGCTGTAAGCCTATTTCCGAAAACAACATTTTATTGATGATTTCTGAACATTATTTTACCTCTTTCAGAGCGGAGAGCTTGAAGTTTGTCCATCAATTTGAGGGCCAAGATGAGTGTGTGGTCTCCCTGAGAGACCGTATAGCCAGATTCACGCTAAACAGCATTTGCGGTACTTGAATATGAAAAGTTTCCTGATGATCATTCAACAATTTGCGTTCTTTTGAAACAGAAACTGCCATGGGAATTAAGCTAGATGAAATGGCAGAGAAGGGCGATCGCTACCGAGCGAACTTCCACCGAATCGACGAAGGTTTTACGCGGCGAATAAGTAATCCCCTCTATTGGGACGACTGTGTATACAACCTGTTTGCGGCCCGCGACTATGCCTCAGCTCTAAAAGTGGTTCATGAATTTTCCAGCGAGATCATCGCCAAGCGCAGAGTTCTTCTGGAAGAAGAGCTTGAATACAGACGAGCCACTCAAACGGCTGACGATGATATGTGAGTTTATTTTGAAATTAAGTTTTCTTACTGATAAGCTGATTTCTTCTGCGCACCAGATGCGTCGCCAGAAAGAAACGATTCGCCATGCTGGACACCTTGATTTGCGCTGAGAAAGATGGCCTAATCGACAACATTGGCATTTGTGAGGAGGTCGACACTCTAATGGCTGAAGGTTACGACACCACATCTATTGGTCTAGTCTTTGCCCTATTGAATATGTCTCTTTATGCTAAGGAGCAGGAACTGTGCTTCCAAGAAATCGAGGAGCATATTGAGGGTAATTTAAATGCTGCACATAATTTGGAAGTTCATAAATACTTATTCATTTTCGTGATTTGATTTCCAGACGACTTGAGCAACCTAAACCTTGGCCAGTTGAATAAACTGAGTCAATTGAACTACTTCCTAAAGGAAACCATGCGTCTGTATCCCTCTATTCCCATTATGGGTCGTCAGACGATCCAGGAAACGGAGCTGGATAATGGCTTAATCCTTCCGAAGCGTTGCCAGATTAACATACATGTCTTTGACATCCATCGCAATCCAAAGTACTGGGACTCCCCCGAAGAATTTCGTCCGGAAAGGTTCCTGCCCGAGAATTGCCAGGAAAGGCATCCCTACGCCTACATTCCATTTAGTGGAGGACAGAGAAACTGCATAGGTAAGTTAAATGTCTGGAAAATGCACACTTTTCATTTTATTCCTTACCCACGCAGGCCAAAAATATGCCATGCAGGAGATGAAAACCCTGCTAGTAGTCATTCTCAAGCAATTCAAGATCCTGCCAGTTATCGATCCCAAAAGCATTGTCTTTCAAACGGGTATAACCCTGCGCTTCAAAAACGAAATAAAAGTCAAGCTTGTGAGGCGGAATCGCGTCTAGTATCTATTGATTTAAGGATATTCCACATATATGCATTCTCACTAAGTGCCCATACGATTTAAGTACTTTGCTAATATTAAAAGACTAATTGACCCTGACATTTCTTTGCTAAACGTCAGTGTCGTGGCAAAGCAATTAATATTAAAGACTAATTTTTACCTAAAAGACCAATGATTATAATAAATGTACCAGAAATTGTGTCAATGTTGAAATTGCAATATACTATATTAGTAAACCGGTTGCTCGATGCACCTATTAAATCTATTAAACCCCGAACAGTGTATTATTTTAGGTGAACTCAACTCGACCGCAAGTCGGTGCTAGCGGAGCGTAAATATCTGTATACTAGGTGCAATCTAATCAGTTTCGGCTGTTTATATGTGTAATTGTAGCCTATAAAACCGGCTGATAGTAAAAGCTCCCCTAGATTGAGAATAACGATATTTCTGATCAGTGCGTTAGGAGGTCTACGAGAACGCGGTTGTCCAATAATGATTATCTTGTGGCTGGTTGTTTCCCTAAGTGTGGTGCTGCACTGGCTCTATAGGATCAACAAGAACTACTACATTCTGGCCTTCTTCTCCAGGAGAATTCGTTCGAAAGATGGAGCACCTGTGGAGAGCATAGCACCCATGCCCAAGGGTAAAACCATATTTGCCAACACCTTCGATTTGTACGGCAGAGACCACGGTGAGTAGCATTAATTGGCGACCTTTGACTTCAGTTAGATAATATAACTAACGTATTATCTTTGTGCATGTTTATAATGAGTGTTCAGCTGGTGTTTTCAATCACTCCCGTGACCGTGCCAAAAAAATGGGCACTAGCTACATTGAATACGGGATGGGAACGGCCATTTACAATGTAATCGATGCGGATACCGCGGAAAATGTACTAAACCATCCAAATCTGATCACCAAGGGACTTGTCTACAATTTTCTACATCCATTTCTAAGAACTGGCTTGCTGACATCGACTGGTGAGTTTCGAATTAGATTTGCTGCTTGGTTTTCTTCAATCTTTTTAATTACAGAAAAAAAATGGCATGCACGCCGAAAGATGCTCACCCCGACCTTCCACTTCAATATATTAAATCAGTTCCAGGAGATCTTTAAGTGAGTTCACAAAAAATAATATCATGAAAAAGTACCTACTTATTTATATCGTTTTTAGAACGGAGAGTCTAAAGTTTCTTCAACAGTTCCAGGGTCAAGATGAGGCGACTATAACATTACACGATGTTATACCAAGATTTACACTGAACAGTATTTGTGGTGGGTTTTGAAAATCATTTGATTTTAATAGTATTTTCATAGCCCATATCCACAGAGACTGCCATGGGTGTTAAGCTGGACGAGATGGCCGAAAAGGGTGATCGTTACCGAGAGAATTTCAGTCAGATTGAAGAATGTTTCATTCGTCGTTTGAGTAACCCGCTTCTGTGGGGCGATACAATTTTCAACATGTTTGCTGCCAAGGATTACGCTTCTGCCCTCGATGTGGTTCATGGATTCTCCAGCGAGATTATTGCCAAGCGGAGAGTTTTACTGAAGGACGAGCTGGACAACAGACGTGCCACCCAGACCGCAGACGATGATGTGTAAGACCTTTATTTGACTGGCTTCGAAAGTATCATTAATGTTACGATTTGTATAGATTTGTCCCAAAGAAGCGATTTGCCATGCTGGACACGTTGATTTGCGCCGAAAAGGACGGCCTCATCGATCACACTGGCATTTGTGAGGAGGTGGACACCCTTATGTTCGAAGGCTACGATACCACGTCAATTGGCCTTATCTTTGGTCTGATGAACATGTCTTTGAATCCTGACAAGCAAGAACTATGCTTCCAGGAGATCCAAGAGCACATAGATGGTGAGTTAAGATACAGACACTATAGGTATAGGTATAATTCTCAACATGTGAATTTTTCCAGATGACCTAACTAACTTGGACGTGAGTCAACTGAATAAGCTGAAATACCTGGAGTACTTTATGAAGGAAACCATGCGACTATTTCCGTCGGTTCCCATTATGGGTCGTGAAGCTGTGCAGGAAACCGAGCTGGCAAATGGTCTGATCCTGCCGAAGGGTTCACAGATAACCATTCATGTCTTTGATATTCACCGCAATGCCAAGTACTGGGATTCCCCCGAAGAGTTCCGTCCAGAGAGATTCCTGCCCGAAAATGTACAGAACCGTCACACCTACGCCTATGTTCCTTTTAGTGCTGGTCAAAGAAATTGTATTGGTAGGTGTACATCTCTTTTGCCTATCCCGTTTCTTATTCAATAATCGCTTTCTTAATGTAGGTCAAAAGTATGCCATGCAGGAGATGAAAACGCTAATGGTGGTCCTTCTCAAGAAGTTTAAGATTCTGCAAGCTATCGATCCCAAAAAGATTGTGTTTCATACGGGAATAACACTGCGCACCCAAAACAAAATAAAAGTTAAACTTGTGAGGCGTAAGTAAGATAATTGCTCAGCCATTTAACAATGACAATCGCAATAAACTTATTTTACCTTAATTAATGCCTTGAAAAAAAAAAATGAAAATAAACAAACAAAAAATTCGCGTTCTTACATGTTTATATTATTTAATACTCACTGTATATAATGAATTTAATAAATAAACTGGTGTATTAGAAAAAAAAAGTGTTTCGGTCCAAAGCCAAAATCCCATACCATATAATTTGTTAGTGAGCTCGAGCGAATATTCAAACATACAATTATATATACACGTATAAGAGACAATCTAATCAGTTTCGGCTTTTATACCGGTAATTTTTGTTTATAAAACCGGCTGATAGTCATCTCAGTGATCAGTTCGGTGGGACAGATCCGTGGATGCGGTTGTTCAGAAATGATAATATTGTGGCTCGTGGGTGCTTTAATTGTGCTCGTGCACTGGCTTTATAGGGTCAACCAGGATTACTGCGTTCTTGGGTTCTTCGCCAAAAGAATTCGAACGAAGGATGGGAAGCCCGTGGAAAGCGTAGCTCCCTTGGTCAAGGGCAGTACCATATTTGCCAACAGCTTCGACTTGTACGGCAAAGATCACTGTGAGTTATTACTCGCTTAACTTATCTATGGATGCTTCATGGGGCTATCTCTTTGCCTGTATTCTAATTTTACCCTCAGCTGGTGTTTTTAATCACTCACGTGACTGTGCAAAAAAAATGGGCGAGAGCTACTTTGAATATGGGATGGGAACGGCCATTTACAATGTTATCGATGCGCATAACGCGGAACATGTACTAAATGATCCGAATCTAATAAACAAAGCAATTGTGTACAACTTTCTTCATCCGTTTCTGAGAACTGGATTGTTGACATCCACAGGTGAGTTTGGACTTGGATTTGCTCACTTTTTCTATTTTCTTATGAAGTATTATTTTCAGGAAGGAAATGGCACGCAAGACGGAAGATGCTTACTCCAACGTTCCATTTCAACATACTGAATCAGTTTCAGGAGGTCTTCAAGTGAGTTTAACAAATTCAATATGACACATATTTTGAACTTATATTGCTAGAACGGAGAGTCTGAAATTTCTCCAGCAATTCAAGGGACGAGATGAAGAAATCATCTCATTGAACGACGTCATACCCAGATTTACTCTGAACAGTGTTTGTGGTGGGTTTTTAGTGCATTATAAGTATAATTCGATTAATATTAAAATCATCTAAAATGTCTGCAGAGACTGCCATGGGTGTGCAGCTGGATGAGATGGCCGAGAAGGGCGATCGTTACCGGGAGAACTTCAGTCAGATTGAAGAATGTTTTATTCGCCGAATGAGTAATCCTCTCCTGTGGGGCGATTCACTGTTCAACATGTTTGCTGCCAAGGATTATGCTTCTGCTCTCGAGGTGGTCCATGGATTCTCTAGCGAGATCATAGCCAAGAGGAGAGTTTTGCTGCAGGACGAGCTGGACAACAGACGTGACTCACAGACCGCAGACGATGATGGGTAAGAACATTTGTTGCATACCTCTCTAGCACCCATAATACTTATATGTACCACAGGTTCACCAGCAAGAAGCGCTTTGCCATGCTAGACACCTTAATTTATGCCGAAAAGGATGGCCTCATTGATCACATTGGCATTTGTGAGGAGGTGGACACTCTTATGTTCGAGGGCTACGATACCACGTCCATTGGACTTATCTTTGGTCTGATGAACATGTCTTTATATCCCGAAAAGCAAGAAATTTGCTTTCGGGAGATCCAAGAGCACATAGATGGTTGGTTAGGATAGGCTTCAAAATAACCTTCTAAGGATTTCAACTCTTTTTCAGATGAGTTGGGCAACTTGGACATCAATCAGTTGAATAAGCTTAAATACCTGGAATACTTTGTTAAAGAAACTATGCGCCTATTTCCTTCCGTTCCCGGCATGGGTCGGGAAACCAATAGAGAGACGGAGCTGACCAATGGGCTAATTCTGCCAAAGGGTTCTCAGATTGTCGTTCATGTTTTTGACATCCATCGCAACCCCAAGTACTGGGATTCCCCAGAAGAATTCCGCCCGGAGAGATTCCTACCCGAGAATTCCCAAAACCGTCATACCTATGCCTATATTCCGTTCAGTGCTGGTCAAAGAAATTGTATTGGTAAGTAGTCTTGCTTTATCGAACGTATTGGTTTACCATCTTCTCCTTGTGTAGGTCAAAAATACGCCATGCAGGAGATGAAAACTCTAATGGTGGCGCTTTTGAAGCAGTTCAAGATCCTGCCAGTTGTAGATTCCAAGAGCATAGTGTTTACATCGGGCATAACGCTGCGAACCCAAAACAAAATTCACGTAAAGCTTGTGAGAAGAAAGTGACTTAGCTTTAATGGAAAGGATTTATTCCAGGAACTCTGCTAACCATAAAGTGCACTGTACAATGCTTTCATCCAAAGTCGTCTTTCTATTCTGGGGTGTAAAAATGTCCCTGTGAATGGCTTATGGCCGATAATCGTTGGCATCTCGACAGCTGCCGCCCTATAAATCATTCATGCACTGGCGGGCAAAAGCAGTTCTCTTTTATTCCTATACCCACAGCTATTACCATTCCAACTCCCATTTCTACACAGTGGGAGCTCTCTGCTATTTCCTCTTCTTCTTTTTGAGGGAGCCCAGGAAAAGTCAAGTAATCTCTGTCTTTTAGCCCACATATATAGGAATGCAAATGCATAATGTGCTGGCGACTTTTTGTCATTTGGTTTCACTTCCTCGGCTTCTGTGCAGGCTTCCCACCGACTTCTTTTTGCCTTAACTGCGATTTTGACAGTTCGTTACTCAGTTATACCATTTGCATGCATAATGCAGATTCAGCATTGTTCTAAGCACATAAAATGTGGCAAAGAGACATGTGACCATGGGCTTGCAAAATGCACGAGATGACTGCACTGAAAGAATTATGGAGCCGTTTAAGACCGATTTTTCCTAGCTCTAAACACATTAAACAGTGTACCTCCAAATATATGATTGACAAAAGTCTCCTATACCAGGATTCATTATTTCCGTTAAGAAGTTCCCATTACTAGGTGAAAATAAGTATTTGCACCTAGCTAGGATTTCGAAGAAAATACTACACAAGAAGCCGTTCGCCTTCTATTGGTGTTCAAAAACGGCCGTACACATCCAATTTTTAATTTTTCACCCCTTTTTCTCAGAACTCTTTTGTAACACAGTGCTATTGAATACTCATATTTTTTAGTGTCGGCCTGACTGTGCGCCTCCTGCATCATCGTCATCCATCCCGGGGGCCCAGGATTTATGGGACAGGACATGGAAAATGGGTGAAAGGGAGATCTGTGGGTCTGTCAGTTTTAGCTGCTACTTCGGTTATTGCATATTTCATCAGTGCTCTCTGTGCTTGGGTTCCGAAGCCATAAGTCAACATTAAATGGATTCCATTTTTGAGTCATGTAAATTAAATTCCATTCGCTTTTATATGTGCCGAGCAAATGTTTGAATCGCTGGAAATTGAAACAGCAGGCTTTGATCCAAGGTTACCCCTACATGTACTTTACACCCCTCACCTGACGGCCGAAACTGCGCAACAAACGTGGAAACTACAGCCAAAAAAGAAGTCGCAATATCTGCCAGCCAAAAAAATTGCGCACTTTTAGCTGAAGGCTAAACCCCCAACAGCTGAACAGCTGGCCCTGTCGATATGCTAGGGGAAATTAGAACTCAACTGGAGGAGTGGCGATGGAGGCAGAGTGAATTAATTACTTTATGCGCATCTGCGTGTCGTTCCCGGGCACTTTACACTTCCCCCGGACTCCTGACCCTACCTATATCCCATATACCCATTTCCCTATCCAGTTTTGTCCTTCCCTTTCGCAAAACTCACACATGACGCTATTAATTTCTATTACCAGCCTCAGACGGCCTGCCATACTTCATTACGAGCTTTCGTGCAATTGCCTTTTGCTCGAGCTACCTTTCATTTGTTCGCCACTGTTCGACACTGAGCAAAAACGACGAAGAACAATGGAAACCAGCGATCTTAAGGGACACTCATATATGAGTTATTTAGTGTCGTATATCTATTAGGTTACCAAAACTGTTTTTAATAAATATTTATACAGTTTTTAAAAACCATAGAAAATGCTTTAATCTAAAAATATTGAATGTGTGTTTAATTCATGTACATATTCAGCTTCTAAAAAGTACAGCCAAATTTAAGTAAAAAGCCATCGGAAAAAAAACAGTTGCGAAGCAAGATAAAATCTTATGAGAAGTATGGTCTTAAAAGGTAAGCTTCATAGCATTTTTTCTTAAATAAATGCTAGGGCCTCGGCTCGGCTGTTGAATCCAGCACCTTACTTAAAATTCGAGATGAAAACTATCGTGAATACACAACTTAATTCCTATATGCTGTCTAAAGTTTTTCCCCCAGTGCGCCCTTTTTCGCGCTGCCCTCGCTTGTTTGTTGATTCTGATTGGGATTAAGGTTGCCCATGGGTTCTCGGTTCGCTTTGATTGCCTTTGTGCCGCAGATGCCGTGAAATATTTCATTTGCTGCCAGTTATTTGCTCTTGCGCTCTGCAGTTTCCCAGCTTCCTGTTTCGGTTTCATTTCAGCTTTTCTTTGGGATATATTTTTTATTTGTTTCACGGCTTGTGCGTGTGTGATTATCGCTGGGAAGAGGCATGGAATGCCATTTAATAAAGTGGTTTTTTTGGCATCGGTGTAACCGACTTGGAGGCCTGTCATAATTTATTAACGATTTTTGTTCGCCCAGCGAAGGTCAAACGGAAGCACACGTGTGCAGGGCAATTAGAACTCACCTGGCTCGGATGTGGTGCTGGTCTCAACGGGCTCCGTGTTGGCATTGCTTTTGTCCAGGACCAGCAGCAAAACGGTCAAGGATATTAGGGCCCAAAGCGGCTTGTGGCGCATACGCTGCCTGCTCCACATGTCCAAGGATCAGATTGCAATGGACAGAATTTTGGCGTTTTATGTTTTGTTCAAGATTTTGGCAAAGTCTTCGCCAGCTGAGAATATCAACACCACTGCACTTTACGAGTTGGCTTTCAGTGGGACGAAAATAGAAATCCACTTGGCCAACTCACACGAACACAGGCTCAACTCAACACTGGCAAACAGCCACCCACACTCGCACAAAACTATATGTGCAACGTGTGCGTGCGTGTGTGTCTTTGGCTTTAAAGTTTCACTTTTAGTTTCAGTTCTTTTCGGTTTTATCCTTTTTGAAGCTGGGAACCTTTCCTTGCGAGTGACGACAATCGAATGCTCCGAGTCCTGCGAGCGTCTCGCTTTTATAGCGCTCGTTGGATTCTGCGCAGCTTCGGCTGCCCTTCGTTCAGTTGCATTCGGCACTCGGCACTCGACGAAGGATCGCACTCGACGAAACTCCCCCAAGGATGTCACGTGCATTTTGCCGGCAAATCGTGTGTTTTTGTTTTGGTTTGGCCCATGTTTTGCTTAGTTGCTGTTGCTGTTTTTCCTCTTTTCCGATTTTCCTCTCTTGTCGCTTTCGCTTTTCGGTTTCGGTTTGTGTGTGTGCCTGTGCCTGTGTGCGTGCCCTTGTAACTCTCACGTAGCTTTCCTTTTTTCCCACCCCATCTACCTCCCGACCACCCAGCTACAAATGAAGTTTTCCGCTTGCTTGCCACGTTGATTAAGTTACTTTCCAGTTTAAAACTAATTTAATTATACTTTCCTAATGCCTGATAAGTTTTTACTTCGGCAGGGAATCAATCACAGCAAATCAATTACTATTTCGATGCGAAAAGAACGTTGGGTACCCTAAATGCTTTAATAACTGGGTTACGTTTCAAATAAAAAATGAAATACTTTCTTTAATAAAGTTTTTTTTGAATCATAAAAGTATTTTAAAATTATAACTGCTTATTTGGCTACTTTGTTAAATTGTTGGGCTAAAGCCAACACTTACTTATGATGTAAAGTTCAGAAACTCACTGACAACCGGACTTAAAAAGTATACATTTATATTCGTAATTAAATTATTACATATCATAAAGATTAGATAAAGATTCAATGCAAAGGTTTTAATTGAGACTACCCCGTTTTTACTCTAGGTACTCTCCAAATAAAAGTATATTCTTTTGTAGAGAAGTGAGTAATGTTCCATTAATACATTAATATCACTTGTATTAACATTCAACAAATAATAACGCGAATTTTAAATTAAATCGTTTAAAAATGTGTGTTGTACAGTGAATGCCAGACCGAGTAGGACAAATTCGACTGCAGGTAAAGAGTGAGGTTAAGCAGACTGGATCGCAATCGTTCTCCTTTTCACCTGCTTCTGCCCAGAGAAGTATGCTATCAATTGTGCTGACGTCCGCTGTCTGCTGCGCTGGCCTTTTCCTTTTGGCCAATAATCAAGCAGCAGTGGCGGTGATTTCGAAGCACTTGAGCTGCGGCCGAAGCTAAATGCCAACTGGCAACCAGGTTGCGGATGCCACTTGGCCACTAATTACGCAAATGAATGCCCCGACAATGTTGCCTCGTTCCCTTTCCCCTTCAGCAAGATAAATGTCACTCATTGGATGTTCAGGTTAGGGTCCTGTGGCCAAAACCGTAACAATACCGTCTGGGTCTCTGTTGTCTGTCGCATTGAAATTCTGCTGAAATGCAAAATGCGAAACGCGCTCAACTCAAGTCGAGTGGAAAATGAATGTTTGTGTGCTGCACTCTCCCTGTTCAGCTGGAAATCCAATTGTGCAGCAGCATTATCTTTTGTGTATAATTTCTGGCATAGCTCCCTGGCCCACCCAAAAGTTTGGAATGCAATCAGGCTGAAAATTTATACGTTTAGCATGTTTATCCTGCCTTCAGCAACGACGGCCTTTACAGCAAAATTCAATTTGCTGCCCTGCAACCGCAGGCTGAAATTACATCTCTGGTATTTCGATTCATTACTGACAAGCCGAAGGCTAATAACTGATGTTTCGCCTGGGTGCAATTGGAAATAGTTGCAACTGACATGGTCGCAGGCTTCGGCAAATTAAAATATTTGTTGCCTTTGATTGCGTTCACCGGATTTTGTTATTTAATCTAGACAATTACTTACTGGCTTTGAAATGAGATTAATACGTTACAGATGAAACATCATGATAATATATGTGGGATGGTACAAATTTCAGTTTATTTGGGAAAGTAACAGAATGTTTTTTCAAAAACTTAAATGAATGAATGTTTCTTGATTTGACTTATTTAATTTCACAAAACCGACTTCTTTTCGGAACGCACTGGACAACCTCTTTTCTGCTCGACTCTTTTGCTCGATGCTTTTTTAAAATAATGTACTCGATTCTCTTTAATGTACTCGATTAATATTTTATAGTATTGGATAACAAATAATAATAAGAGCGCAATTCAAAATCAAATTAAGGTACTGGGCCTAAACCGTTGATG